TTGACATTTTCAAACACTTAATCTGAATATTTCACATATGTCTTGTGTCGAGGCCATACTCTTGATTAGATCGTAGTGTGAGGTGAGGCCTTCTTTTACTCCAGTTAGAATTCCACTTGCAACTTGCCGGTATTTAGGTAGAAGGTACAGGGTGTAACCTATAAATTGGTAGTACTTCAGTTTGTCATCCGAATTGTTAGCTTCCATAATTGTGAAAATGTCTACATTCATAGGTTTGTAGGATTTTCTGGACTTGGATCCTCTTGTCCGGAGACATTCCAACAGCATTCCACTGGAGGATATGAAGACGTTGTGATTCGCCCTGACGAGAGCGATTTCTCCTATAGACTTTTTCAAGCTAATCATAATAAATCGAAGTCAAATCAAATGGCGAGTGGTAGACTTTTTTGCTGTACGAAGATACGTTGTCCAGGGTGCACCACGTGGAGGTAAGTCTATCTTAATCTACTTTATTGCATTGAGTGTGGGCAATGCACTCAAGTTAAGCAGATATTCAAATTTAACTATTGTCCAATTATCATGCACTTCAAATGTATTTCCATGAGAAGCATTCAGAGAGAAGTCACATCTTTGCCACGTTCCATGTTCAATTAGCGCTAACGAAGTTGAAGTGCTGATAACATCGCTATGGATAAAAGTTTGAGTAGGCAAAAAGTACATCGAATTCAATTTGGCCGAAATATTTAAAGCTACTTAGCAAGGTAATATGACGCTTACTAAAATCATTGTTCATTATTTGCTTCAGGTATGCACTAATAGTATATATGACATACTATTAGTGCACGGTGCATCGGTTTGCATGATGGTCATGGAAGGCGTCACGGGTTCCATGCACATTGTGAGAAATTTCACGCTTTCCGGCTTCAATTTACTAACAGGTCTTATCTGAGGCTATTGGTCACTCAAGTATGTGTTCAGCAATCACATCTACCACGTCTACCAGATCAAAGGTCACGATTCCAGGACTCAGAGCGCATTATCCGCATTCAATAATGTCCCCGCCCGCCCTCCCTCCCCACTCCCTCCCCTCTTTCGCTCATTTTAAGCGTCTGGCAAAAACACAGTTTTCATTATAATTGATCGATTTGCATAGCACCACTTGAAAAGCTACAAATCCAGGTTATCTAGTGTTCTCCAAGATCCCAGTCGGAAATTGTGGAATCGTGGACTTCACGTTGAATTGTAAAATCTTCAATTTCTATGCCACCGAAAGCATAGAATAAGAACGGTATTCGAGTGAGGGGCTTTATGCGACACCCCGTATAATATACTCACGGATTATAATGTTTCACTGGTATAGTAATTACTTTAACGTATTTAATATGCGTATTTGTGTGAACAAAAATACTTCACCAGTTGGTGGTTATTGTATTTACTCTTAATACAAGAATAATGGCATACATTTGGACAAAAAATCCTTAAAATGGTTCTTCGAAGTCAGAGAGTTGACTGAGAGAACTGAAAGATTCGTAAGAATAATCCGAACAGCTGTAATTATCTGAAACGACGTCATCATCAGGTCTATCTAGGTGACGACGTATTTTACGGCGAAGATGAAAGAAGACCTTCACTGCATCCTCAACGTCCGAACAATTTTCCTGAACGAATAGAAAGCAATTGGCATAACATTTTTGATACAGATCTAAAATTGCCTCAGGATCGCAAATATTTGGATTATGGAAAAGCGCAGTCGAAAGATTCTCAATCGAAACCTTGAAATCATTATACTCCTTTGGAAGGTTCTGCACAGTCCGCCGCATCTTCTTTCCTCTAAAAGTGGCATGCATTCAGAACGAGAAGTACGCTCTCACCTTTCATTGTAGTGGTCGTATATACCTGCGGAGTGCATTGTGGGCGCCATTTCGGCATGTATCAATGGCAAGATCTGAAGAGCACTAGCTACGAAAGGACTGTAAGGTGCTAGCAACTTGATGTCATTTTCGTAGTCAAGGAGGAAACCACGAATTTGGAAGCGCGTTTCATTGGTTTCATGGAAGAATAGTTGAGCAGCCTGATGACAGTCAAATTCGAAATCGCGTATACTTTGGTCGGTTTCCTTAAGAGAGCAGATGAATTGTTCTGCTCTATAATAGCAAGGCATTGAAACGATAAAATTCATACTTGCCTCTCAGCCAAATCTACATTGTCGACAAGATTTGTAGGAGAAGCCATTTTGAATGAGTACCAACACTAACAGAGACAATGGTAAAATGAATTTAAGTGGCAGTTAATATCATTAAATTCAAGCCTATTCGAGGTCACTGAATGATATCGCAATAAATCGATTAAGGCCATTCTAAGTTAACTGTTTAAAGTATGATTTCGCAACACACAAGGTCAAATGATTGGAAATAGTAACGACGGGCATGGATTTCTGCACCACAGGACAATATATATCGGCCAATCGATAA